GAGTGCAGTGGCGCTATTTCGCTCCGCTCACTGCAACCGCCACCTGCCAAGTACAAGCGATTCTCCTGCCTCAGCCTCCGAGTAGCTGGGACTACAGGCATATGCCATCACACCCAGCGAATTTTTTTGTATATTTAGTAGAGACGGGTTTCACCACGTTAGCCAGATGGTCTCGATCTCCTGAGTTCGTGATCCACCGGCTTCAGCCTCCCAAAGTGCTGGGATTACAGACATAAGCCACCATGCCCAGCCTCCTTTTCTTTTTTTCTTCCTTTCTTTCTTTCTTTCTTTCTTTCTTTTTTTGTAGTGGTTTCAACATGTTCTCAGGCTGGTCTCCAACTCTGGGGCTCAAGTGATCCGCCCAGCCTCCTAAAGTGCTAGGATTAAGGTGTGATCCATCGCGCCTGGGTAGCTCCTGCTTTTTGCCACAGTATTCATGGGAATTTGTAGGATTTCTGTACTGGGGAAACGTGTACTCAGCTGATAAAGCCAGGTAGAAGTTGTATTTAGAACTGATGGTTTGGCCAGGTGCGGAGGCTCAAGCCTGTAATCCCAGCACTTTGGGAGGCCTAGGCCGGTGGATCACGAGGTCAAGATATCGAGACCATCCTGGTCAACATGGTGAAAACCCGTCTCTACTAAAAAATATACAAAAAATTAGCTGGCATGGTGGCACGTGCCTGTAATCCCAGCTACTCAGGAGGCTGAGCCAGGAGAATTGCCTGAACCCAGGAGGCAGAGGTTGCGGTGAGCCGAGATCGCCCCATTGCACTCCAGCCTGGGTAACAAGAGCAAAACTCCGTCCAAAAAGAGAGAGAGAGAGAGAGAGAGAACTGGTGGTTTTCTTTGGAATAAAAGCAGTGCTTTTGGGGGGCTGTTAGTGTCCTCGTTTGGTCGTAGACATAACACCCTTTCTTTGTGAAGGGGAAAGACTTTGGCCGTGCACTGGTGCTCCTGTGCAGGGCATGGAGGCCTGCAGATCAGAACCGCAGTCCACCGTATATCTTCGTGGAATACCCAATTTTCCCTGGAATATAAGATGGGAGCTCTTGTGAGGAGATTTCTACAAGTAAGAAAACAAATTTCCATTCAGTTTTTATTGAAAAATTTAAAATTATTATAACTGAGTCCAGCCTCTCAGATGACAATTGTCTTTTGCACTGAGCTCCCGGAACTGCCGCTTGCCTCAGCAGGTGCAGGTGCAGCCCTCGCTGCCCTCCACACTTTCTCCACAAGAGGGAGACAGAGTTCCGCAGGACCACAGCGCTCGCGGCCTTCCAGAGCCAAAAATCACGGAGCGGGTCGCCCTGTCCTGGCTGCAACAAGCAACTGTCCTGGCTGTCCTGGCTGCACCTTGCCCTGTCCTGGCTGCACCGCACAACCGACCTAAAAACGGCCTTTGCTGGGAGCAAAGTGGGGTGAGATGGTCGCCGGAACTGGGGCCTGTGCACTTGACCAGGTTGACCCACGGGAGGGGAGGTCTCCAAAGTCAGAGGGGGCCAAGCACTGAGACCTCACCATCCTCAATCTCCAGGACTCAGAGAGATGCAGAAACTGAGACAGGCTTCCTTTTTCAAGGAAAGAGGAAACTCTGGAAGAAGGTCCAGGGGCTCTGAACCAAAATCCAGATTTTTTTTTTTTTTTAACCTGCAGCCTTTTGTTTTTGTTTGAGAAGGTATCTCGGTCTGTTGCCCAGGCTGGAGTGCAGTGGCACAATTTTGGCTCATTACAACCTCCATTTCCCAGGTTCAAGCAATAGTCCTGCTTCAGCCTCCCTAGTAGCTGGGATTACAGGTGCCCACCATGACATCTGGCTAATTTTTGTATTTTTATTAGAGACAGGGTTTCACCATGTTGGTCAGGCTGGTCTCAAACTCCTGATCTCAAGGGATCCACCCACAGCCTCCCAAAGTGCTGGGATTACAATGTGAGCCACCGCATCCAGCCCACACCTGCAGCTTCATCCCATTTAGTTGATGCCGCTTTGTCATTCCCTGTGCTCAGGCCAAAAAGCAGTTCTGTAGGGTGGTCGTTCTTTGACCCCATGCATCCTGTTGTTCAGAAAATTATTTGGTTTTTTATTTGGTTAACTGCAGACTGCGATCTGTACAATCTCTCTCTTGGTCTGAAACCAAGAAAATGTAGATCTTTTGGTAAACATAGAAAGCTTCTGATCTTAAAGCTTGAAACTTTTTTTTTTTTTTGAGATAGAGTTTTGCTCTTGTTACCCAGGCTGGAGTGCAATGGCAGGATCTCGGCTCACCGCAACCTCCTCCTCCTGGGTTCAAGCAATTCTCCTGCCTCAGCCTCCCAAGTAGCTGGAACTAGAAGTGCACACCACCATGCTTAGCTAATTTTTGTATTTTTAGTAGAGATGGGGTTTCACCACATTGACCAGGATGGTCTCGATCTCTTGACCTCCTGATCCGCCCGCCTCGGCCTCCCAAAGTGCTGGGATTATAGGCGTGAGCCACTGCGCCCGGCCTCTGGGTGTTTTTTATAATGTTTATTCCAAGTCTAGAGGACACCTGAATGAGCTTTCCTCCCTATAAGGAAAGGACTGTCTCATTGAAATGGAAAAATATATTGGAAGATACATGGGCACACCTCTTATTAAAGTAAAGCTAAGACTCATAAAGAGATGCCTTCTGCTCCCAGAAAATGTTTAATAACAGATGCTCGATTTACTTCCTTGCCTGAAATCTGCCCACTGCTCCTCTCTGCAAACAAACATAGACAAAAAAGTGAAATTACACTTTCCACGACACTGGAAATGAGGTGACAAAGGACAGAACCCCTGAGGGATGAGAAACAAACAAGGTGAGCCCCGCCATTGCCCCAGCTTGCTGCCTTCAGGGGGTTCTCAGGCTAGAACCCAGGCAGGAATCTGAGGCCAACTCCTGGACTGAGGAGATGAAGCTGAGCCTCCGTGGACAGCAAGGCAGCTAGGGCTCAAAGGACAAGATGCAGCAGTGAGGGACATGGATGGAGAGAGGATCTGGGGAGATGGGAAGGGTCTCCCTTAAGCATCAAGCAGCGCATGCTTGTGAAGAGACTTCCCGAGGCCAAGGAAGGAAACTTCTGAAAGGGTTATGAACAGTGCCTGGATCCCGCCAGCCCAACTGAACTACTTGCAATCTGTGGGCATTTGGGTAGAATTCACAGGAAGTCCTTGCTTAACTAGTGTGAATAATGAGTTCTATCTACACTTACCTGCAAAAAAAAAAAAAAAAATCCTAAAAGCAAGACCCGGAAGAATTACATGGATCCCAAGTCACTTAACTGGTGTCCCAGAAAAAGAATAACAACGAAAGTAACTTGGTGTTGCAAGTTTTATTAGCCAGGAGACAAAACGTAAACTTCACCATGTCTGACATGCAATCAGAGAATACCAGGCAGGCAAAGGGCAGGAGACCAGGACTCATAATGAAGGAAATGACCAGTGGAAACCGAACCAGCACTGCCGTGATGGTAGAATTAGCTGAGGGACCTTAAACAGTTATGACTGCATTCCACAGGTCCAAAGAATTAAGTAGAGACATGGAATATGTAAAATGACCCACATCAAATTCTGGAGATGAAAACACCATCAGGAGTGAGGTGCTATGGCTCACGCCTGTAATCCCAGCACTGTGGGAGGCCAAGGTGGGCAGATCGCTTGAGCCCTAAAGTTTCAGACCAGCCTGGGCAACATGACAAAACCTCATCCCTACCACAAAATACCAATAAATACCTGGGTATGGTGGTGTGTGCCTGTAGTCCCAGCTACTCAGGAGGTGGCCATGGGAGGATCGTTTGAGCCTGGGAGACAGAGGTTACAGTCAGCCAAGATTGTGCCACCGCACTCCAGCTTGGGCTACAGGGTAAGACCTTATCTCAAAAAAAAAAAAAAGTCAGAGATAATAAATTCACTAGATGGGAATAACAGCAGATTACATGTTACACAAGAAATGATCGGAGAACATGGAACCATGAATAATTAAAAATATGCAAAATGAAACTGACAGTTGAAAGATTTTCTTTAATGAAAAGATTATCAGTGAACAGTGGAACAGACTAAGTAATGGGAGTCCCTGAAAGGGACTTTCTATAGTACCTGCCCCTCTAACCTATAGAAATGAAACAGTGGGTCTGGGCATGGTGGCACATGCCTGTAATCCCAGTACTTTGAGAAGCCAAGGTGGGTGGATTACCTGAGGTCAGAAGTTTGAGAAGTTGGCCAATATGGCAAAACACTGTCTCTACTAAAAATACAAATATTAGCTGGATGTGACAGTGAACACCTGCAATCCCAGCTACTCCAGGGGCTGAGGCTGGAGAATTGCTTGAACCTAGGAGGCGGAGGTTGCAGTGAGCCGAGATCGCACCATTGCACTCCAGTCTGGGTGACAAGAGTGAAATTCCATCTCAAAAAGAAAAAATGAAAGAAATACAACAGTGGCCAGAAAGGAGGAGGGTGGAAAGTAAATATTTACTTTCTTTTTTATTTTTATCAGGGGTGGTGGTCTCAACATGTTTCCCAGGCTGGTCTCGAATGCTAGGCCTCACTCTGACACCTTCCAGTTCGGCACTATGAAGGTGTGAGTTACTGTGGCCATCCCATTTCCAAAGAAGTAATAGCTGAAAAGTTCCTAGTCATAATGAAAATCACAAATCCAGTGACCCAAGAAGCTGAGGAAACTGAAGCCCAAGAAACACAAAGAAAACCGCTCCTAGATACATTATAATAACGTTGCTCAAATCCAGCCAGAAAAGAAAGGCATCGTGCATGCACAGGAGCAAAGACGAGATGGCATCAGCTTGCTTTCTGCTCTTTCTGGCCTCCACCAGAAGCAGCAATGCACGGGAGCAGACAGCAAACGCCATCTTTACAATACTGAGGGCAGGGGAAATTTACCCAGAATAAGCACTGTGCCAAAAAAACATACTCCCGAAACTGGACGTGGAATAAGGACATTTAGAGATGTACAATAGCTGACGAAATCCACTACCAGCCGACCCACAATACAAGGAACATCAAAGGAGTCCTCCAGGCAGAAGGAAACAGATTCCAGATGAAAATCCAGATCTGCACAAGGAAATGAAGAGCATCGGAAATGGGTAACTACACTAGTTTTTTTCTTATTTTGTAAATCTTTTTTGTAAAAATTTGACCATTTAAACAAAAGCAATAGCAATGGGTTGTAAGGTTTATAACGTGTGTAAAAGCAAAGTGCATGTCAGGGACAGCAGCAAGGCCAGAAGGGGAGGTATAATATCACATGAAGGTAGACTGTGGTAAGTTAAAAAACTCAGGCTAGAAGCCCTAAGGCAATTGCTAAAATAACAAAAGAGAGTGACAGCTAATAAGCCAACAGAGGAGAGAGAATGGAATGACTTATAACCCGTGTGAACGCTGTGATAGTCATTGCTCTTTGTGCAGTGATTGCTCCTCTGTCCCATAGAAATACAAACTGGCCACAAACACCTATACAAGAATGACTAGAGCATTAAATGTAATTGTAAAATCTTAGAACCAATTTAACTTCAAAAGCATTTGGAAAGCGCTAAATGAATGACAGTTAAAAAAGGGAGAGAGAGAGAGCTGACTGTAGTTGCTCATGCCTGTAATCCCAGCACTTTGTGAGGTGGAGGCAGGCGAATCACGAGTTCAGGAGATCGAGATCACCCTGACCAACATTATGCAACCGCTCTACTAAAAATACAAAACTCCAGAGGCTGAGGCAGGATAGTTTGAACCAGGGACTAGGAGGTTGCAGTGAGCTAAGATCACACCACTGCACTCCAGCCTGGCGACACAGTGAGATTCCGTCAAAAAAAAAAAAAAGAGAGAGAAAGAGAAAATCCTTTGTCAAAAATAATTCAGAGGTTAACCATGATGATTCTAGTCTTTGAAGGATATGAGAGTTCCCAGAATCCTAGTGGACCTTGATTTACCTACATGAGACATACAGGAGAGGAGGGTAAAGCTGGTCTTGCTCTACCTTTCCATGAGAGGATGCACTGGACAGAAGAAAGCTGCCAGTGGTTTAAGCATTTTTTTTTTTTTTTTTTTTTGAGACAAAGTTTCACTCTTGTTACCCAGGCTGAAGTGCAATGGTACGATCTCGGCTCACCACAACCTCCACCTCCTGGGTTCAAGCAATTCTCCTGCCTCAGCCTCCCGAGTAACTGGGAGGGACTACAGGCTTGCACCACCATGCCCAGCTAATTTTTGTATTTTTAGTAGAGACAGGGTTTCACCATGTTGACCAGGATGGTCTCGATCTTTCTTGACCTCGTGATCCACCCGCCTCGGCCTCCCAAAGTGCAGGGATTACAGGCATGAGTCACCGGGCCTGGCCCACAGCGATTCTTTTACTAGAACCACAAGGTGATAGCACATAGATTTCAGTGCCCTCATCTGGCCAACCATCTGCCGCTGCCAATGCCCAAGGCAGCCTCCCTCCCTACCAAGACCTGAACTCAGGACCTTACCTTAAAAAGATGTCCTGTCCTTTCTTTCCCATCAGAACTGCCTGGACCAGACCCTATCTCTGGTGACCAGGACAGTTCTCTCACCTGTCTCCCAGGTTGGGGAATGCAGATTCTCCTAAGCTCCCTGCCCCTTTAAGTCCCCCACAGTCTTGTGTGGTTCCAGCTCACACAGGAATATCCGTGGTCCATATTTCCAAAAACTCTTTTCCTCCCACTCTGAATCCAGCCTCTACTGCATGTTCCCCTCACAGCGCAGACACTGTTTTCTTCACATCCTCGGTTTCCTGCCCATGCCCCAGACTGACCTTTCTTTTGCAGAACTGCCTCTCCCTCTGTGAACAGTGTCTTTCTGCTACTGTACATGAAGATGTCCTGCCCTCCCTGCTCACGGAGAGTGCCTGATCTGAGCTGGGCCATCATATCCAGTACTTACCTGGAATAGAAGACAGGCAGAATGGCCAAAGACTACATGAATCTCTGAAGCTCATCCACTTGAGAGAGAGTCCCGGAAGATACTGGTCCTTCATTCCTGCTGTGTATATCCAATGTGACTGAGCTCTGAAGAAAATGTACAAGTTATAATAATGTAGTAATTGACTCAGCAAACTAGGACACGAACATGTTAGAGGGTGAGGTGTTGAGAGGCGTGTTTGGGGTAGTGGTGATCAGCGAGTATGTGAAGGAGAGATAGGGCCTAAACTCAGAAAGCAAAGACTAATAGCTATTTAGAGATAAGGAGCTAAATAATTACGTACAGATGATGGAACTCTGGGACTACACATGGGGCCTGCTGTTTTACTAAACAAATTTTGAAGTATACGTAACTTTGATGAAGTATCCTAAATAAAAAACATCTTGCCATATATTTTGTGTATATATTTACATCCACATATATATTTCTATTCATCGTATTTTGAATATAAATTTGTACAGTCGTTAATCCCTCTTTTCATTTAAGGATTTGAGTTTGATGTCATGCATAACACGTGTCCCCACCGAATGACTACAGAAATGTTGGCAAAGGAAGCTCAGAGGAAATGGTAGGCAATACCACCCAGTTTTGGCCAGAAGAAGGAGATAGAAAGTATTCTCACAAAATGTTAAAAATGTGACTTGTTATATCATCTTTCCACAGTAATTTGGGCAGAAATTAGCAAAATCAGAAATGTATAAATACCTTGATCTGGCCATTCCATTTCCAGGTATCTGCGGAGAAGTAGACAGGGGATGCACAACAGATGTAGGTGTCAGTCTGATCTTTTTACAGCTGTGCTTGTAATAATACACACTGGAGCAATTTCACGGCCATCAGTTAGAGAAGGGTTGAAGAATGATCCACTTGTATCAAGAAGGATGTTTAAAAGATCAAAGCCTGATGGAAATGCTGGAGGCAACGGTGCTGATAGGAGCTCATGTGTATTGAACAATTACTATGTGACAGGCATTGGGCTCCACGCTTTTCCTGCACAGCTCATTTAAACATTGGGCAACCTGAGTATTCTGGTTTAGTGCATTTGACATATAGAAATGGAGGCACAAAAAATTCATGTGTTTAACTTCAAACCCTGGCACATTAGATTTCTCCCTCAGAGTCTGTGGCTTCACCAGAGGTGTGACTCAGGTTCTGTCATTTTCCATTTTAGGAATTTCCAGTGTTCCAAGTATGAGCAGCTGAGGAAACAAACTCAAAACCCTAAACACCAAGATAAGTAAGGGAAGATGTTTGTTGGGGGGAGATTAAAAATGGACTTTTTTTTTTGCCACAAGCGACAAATAGACACGTTGGAAAATAGACAAGAGACAAAAGTTTGTGTGTGTGTGTGTGTGTGTGTGTTTATATAAGATGGGGTTTAACCATGATGGCCAGGCTGGTCTTGAACTCCTAACCTCAGGTCATCCACCCACCTTGGCCTCCCAAAGTGCTAGGATTACAGGCATGAGCCACAGCACCCGGCCTGAAGAGAAGTTTTAAGATATATTTGGTCCAAGGAAGAGACTCTTCAGATGGAAGGTCATGTCAGCTAGAAACATTAATGTGACTGGATGGGCTCGAACCACCGACGTTTCAGTCAACATCTGACAGCACCAACCTAGTGGTCCAGAGACACTGCTTGTGAAACAGTGAAAGCTGTTGCTCAAGTGTGTCATTCATCATTGTCAGATACTGTCATTTAGTAGTACAGGGAGGTATTCTCTGTTGCCAAGCTCAAGTACCCATAACTCTTCTGTTTTGTTGAACCTTCCTCCCCACCACCAGCCTCTTTAGAAGATTGGGAGCTCTGCAAACATCCAGGCCAAGAGTCCTGTCCTTGTGCGTGTTTGGGCATTGATCCAGGCCAAAATCTGTGGGAGACTCCTCCACGCATATTCCAGGTGCCCAGGTGACAGTGGCAGTCTCTAGGTCTGGGGTCATCCACTTTCCCATTTCCAGCCCACCTCACCCATCATGAAGCCTGGTCAGGGTTGCCAGAGACTCCAGTGAGCAGGTGCTGATATTTGTGTGTGTGTTTGCCAGAAGAAAACAAAAAACCTGCTGTGTGCCCACCTGGCTGATCCCGCCACCTTTCTAGCCAAGGGCTTCATGAGCCAGGGCCCTTGGGGTTGCTCACAAGGCAGTCCCTCACCGAGTAGGCATTGGTTCATTATGTGTTTGTACACGTCCCCAGTAATTTGAAATATTTAAAGAATGGTTAAACGATCACTTGACAGTTACACTATAAACAGGCGTAAGATACACAGAGTTGAACATCATTACTTTGAGAAGATAAATTTTAATGTCATTTTCTATCTTTATAATCTTTGGTTTTATTTTGAATAAAATCTTCAATCTTAAAAAGATTACTGCAAAAAAAAAAAAGGATTACAGTCCATTTGCTTTTTCAAATAATAAACTTGGAAATATGTTCTTATGAATGTCAACAGTCAATGCAGTGTGGCATATTAAGAACTGACTTTCATATAACAGGTAAGTTTAGAGAGATTACATTTCATGAGAAAATGTTTAATGAATTTTAATGGTGTATGTTTATTTAAATCTAATTTTTGATTCTGTTTTGGGAAATAGTTGTCTGTTGCTTTTAGTGTATTCTCCTTCCTGTCCAGATATGTGGAATCTACCTATTCTCTTCTCTTTTGAAATAGTTTAAAAGACTCAAAGAGAATGGCCTGGGCTTTGCATGTCCTTAGTCTGATAGACCTTTCCTGGCTGCTCAAATAGATATTAGCAGCTAACTAAAAAAACTACGTCTCTTGTCAGCCACATATCAACAAAGGCTTCAAAATCAGTGAATTCTCTGTTTTGCTGTGGACTTATGTGCTGACAGTCTTATCTTAAGAGAAAAAATTTTAATAGTGCAGATTAAAGTTAAGTTTGGCAAAAATTAAAATGCAGGCAGGAAATTTTTTTTCCAACAACAGACAACTAGGAAAAGTAAAGATACAGGAAAAATTGAAAATTTCTAGTAGAGAGATATAAATATAATAATTGACACCGCCAGGGATGATTAATGAAGAAAATGTTTAGGGGATGGTCATTTGAACACAGCATATTAATACTTTTAAAAACCATTTTTCCAATTACTTCAGTATAAATCAGGTGTCTCTGAAAGGTACAGATCTGGCATCATGATAATGGTGGTAGACAAATGGTGGAACAGCCCTGGTACCACGATCATGGTGGTAGACAAATGGTGGAACAGTCCTGGTATCAAGATCATGGTGGTAGACAAATGGTGGAACAGTCCTGGTACCACGATCATGGTGGTAGACAAATGGTGGAACAGTCCTGGTACCACGATCATGGTGGTAGACAAATGGTGGAACAGTCCTGGTATCAAGATCATGGTCGAAGACAAATGGTGGAACAGTCCTGGTACCCACTATCATGGTGGTAGACAAATGGTGGAACAGTCCTGGTACCATGATCATGGTGGTAGACAAATGGTGGAACAGTCCTGGTACCCACTATCATGGTGGTAGACAAATGGTGGAACAGTCCTGGTACCCACTATCATGGTGGTAGACAAATGGTGGAACAGTCCTGGTATCAAGATCATGGTGGTAGACAAATGGTGGAACAGTCCTGGTACCATGAACATGGTGGTAGACAAATGGTGGAACAGTCCTGGTACCATGAACATGGTGGTAGACAAATGGTGGAACAGTCCTGGTACCATGAACATGGTGGTAGACAAATGGTGGAACAGTCCTGGTACCATGATCAACGGTGGGAGACACATGGGACCTTCTCTGCCTGCAGATGGGTGAGGTAGCATTGACCCTGCAGTGTTCCCGGAAAAACACTTAGGCTGAATTTAATCATGAAGACATTTTCAGACAACTTTAGAGTGTAGAGCATTGAGCCAGACAGCTGACCTATCCTCTGCAAACAAGCCCATATCACCACCATCAATGACAACAACAAAAGGTGAGGAGACACTTTGGGTTTAAAAGAACTAAAGAAATGTAGCTACATTATCTTTTTACTCTTTTTCAACCCAAAATGTCTCTTCTCCTTTTAGTTGTGTGATTTGTGGTGACATGGGCTTTCTGAAGGAGAAAGGTCACTTGTGCTGCTCACTGGTCTACATTCTGAAGTTGTCTGGAGATTACCTCAGGCTATGAAACTCAGGCTCAGTGTTTCAGCAAGAACATGGTGGTGTTCATACTCTGCACCGGCAGAGTCCCACATGACATCATGTCTTAGTGTGGAAATATGACCCCTACCCAGGAGACCAGGGGGAGTCTTGTCACCGTCATAGTAACAAACCTACTGCCCATGTCCAAAGTCAAGCGAACATGCTCTTCCACAAATAAAAAAATAACATACGTGTAAGCCTGGAATGTGAAATAAAACTCAGGATAAGCTGTATACGTTGAATACAATAGATCCAGTGAGTACCTGAAGACTTCAGGTTCTTCTGCTTCCACCAGCTCCATGATGAGCCTAGAAAAGGAGGAAAAACCAAAGAATAAGTCAGGGAAAATAAGACACCGCAGAGCCCCAACTACATTTCATGGGGAGCACAAGAAAGTGGTTAATAAAGAAAAAACATACATCCATTAATGACATAAAAAATTATTGCTTTATGTCGTGGTGAGCAAGAGTAGGGTAAAAAAGAATGAAAGAGAGAGAGGGAAAGTAAGCTCAGTGATCCGTCCAGGTGACACACTGATGAGGGAGTGAAAGGACACTCTGAGTGAGTACCCTCAGGACACACAGCGTACACTGCTCATAAAAACAAGTATCGTTAATCTACGGTAGTTAGTAAATGATAAGGAGAGGGAGAAATGGAAACTGAAATATCTACCGCAATGAAAACCAACAGCAATGTTAGTAGAAATCATTCAGGCTTCACTGAAAACATGGTATCGATATTGTCAGCCCACTCTTTTCCCTGGACCTGGTGTCTCCGGGTGTCAACACAAAATTAGCTGTTCACAATTGCTCAAAGTTACCTGGGGCATGGTGGGCCTTGGTCTTCTTCTTCTTCTTGGTCATTTTTAATCTCTGCAATAAATTCAGACAGGGACAGACAAAATAAGCCAATTCGCCTACACCCATAACCGTCCACTGTCTAATCCCTGCACAGGGACCTCAGGCTCCTCAGCATGACAACAGGATAATGTGAGAGAGAGACTTCAGGAGGTCTGAAGGCCAATCATGAGAGAGATTTCTTGGTTTCTGTCTCAGACCAATGATGAAATGTCCCTATTCTGGTAGACCGTTATCCTTTTATCCCAAGTTTGTACAAAGAGTTACACCAAGTTTGTACAAACAGAGAAGAACCTCACAGACATGCTTGGGGAACAAAACTCATGAGAAACTTAATAGCTGGCAAGAGACATTTAATTCAGATTGACAGATAACTTGTGGGCATGTGCTGCATAGCTTGGTGTGAGTGTGCAACACCTTCCTTAAGTTTCAATGTCCTGACAGTCGCTCCAGGGTACGACGGGCATGGCCTGAGACTAGAGACAGGGCAGAGCTCACTGACCCACCCCATGCCGTTGCTTAAGACTGGAATCCAGAGTGACTGCAATCTACACTCATGTACAGGCTCAGCCCACAGTGATGACAACTCTCAGCCTGGCCAGGGGAGCAATGCCCAAAGACTATGAGGTCTAATGGGGACACAAAATGGAGCTTTAGTGCCTTCACAATGGAGTACTCACTGTCTATGTCAACAGCCAAGTTGACTTGCTGCTCCTCTAATGAGTGAAAGTTGCTCCTGAAAGTCTCATTGAAGGCAGATGGGCCAGGAGGAACTGAGAGAGTCGAATCACCTTCGTCCCAGGACTCCTGGGGGGCTTCCTCCTCCACAGACTCCTGCAGATCCCTGATGAGCCAGGCAGGACAGAATGACAGATTAAACCAACAGAGATTAGACAACAAAGTCCCCCAGCTGATCTGATGGAAGTCAGAATGGAGTGGTCACAGAAAGCAGAGGCATTTTTCCTTCAAGAGAAAAAAAAAGAGCTATCCTTCTAAATGCAGGGTGAAGGGTGACTACCCTGGGTATGCAGCACAAATGAGCAGCAGGTGCTCAGTGCATTTGCACAGATGAGCCACTGCAGGCCACCCAGACTCCCTGTAAACTCTCATCATGAACTGCAGCATGAGCACTAAGACGGGGATTCAACTACCTCACATAAGTTGTGTTGAATTTTACATGCAGCATTCAAGTGAACAGAGCTCCTGAGGCATTTCAGACACCCAGATCTTGTGTACTAAGGGCCTCCCTTTTCCAGTATTTTGATAGCATATGTATATTTTTTGAATTTCTTCTCTTCACAAATCCTAGCAAACATGCTAAAAACAAATGGGCAGAAAGCATATCCACGTCTCTCCCGGGAATTAAACCCATGGGAGAGAACAGGCGAAACCAGGAAATCCCTGTTTGCTGAGTTCACGTGGCTCAGCAGATTGCAGGTCCCTATCTTGGGAGGACTAAGACATTAAAACCTATACAAGTGCCACACATCACCCACAGCATTGTCAATGAGGACAATCTGTAGCTGGGTGAATGGAAGGCAGAGTTCTAGTCATTTTCTCCTTTTCCTGGATCTGCAGTCTCCAGATGTCACTATGAAACTAACAGCCCACAGGTCCACAGCATTACCTGGGGGGCATTGGCCCTTTCTCCTCCTCTTCCTCAACATCACCTTGACTTTCTGTAAATAAATTCAGAGAAGCAGGTCACATTAAGCAAATCACACTTCACATATGACCAAATCAGTGTTTAGTCATAGCACAGGAACAGAAATGTTCTCACGGCAAGAATACAAATTCTGACAGGAAGATTCTAGGGTGCCCTAGATGAAGCCTGGTGAGTAGATGAGCCTGCTTTCCAGATGCACAGGCCAAAAGCCCCCTGTACGGGTAGACCATAATGCCATATTCTCTCCCTGAGTCTATGCAAACTTAAACCAAATTTTTTCCCAGACAATCTCCAAAAATAAGTCAAACTCTTTTCTGGGAGTGTTGCTGCAATACTGACTTATCTCACCAGGGAGCAAGGTCATTGAATGGTCAGAAGCATCTATACATGAAACGAGATGGATATGTAAATTCTAACAACACTTGCTGCAAAAACAATCTGTAAGTTTGCGCAGTGGCAGGATCGTAGCCAATGGGGTTTATCTGAGATGAGATTATCGCTAATTGAAAACGTTCCCAATACCCCGCCGAGATGACATGTAATAGAGTCGGCATTGACAATTTTTGACAGTCTCTAGGGAGAAGGAATTAAAAAAAGACAAAACAAAAGCAAAAACAAACAAAAAACAATCTCATGGTGGCTCACGCCTGTAATTCCAGCACTCTGAAAGGCCGAGGTGAGCACTTCACAAGCTCACGAGATCAGGACCATCCTGGCTAATACGGTGAAAGCCTGTCTCGACTAAAAATACAAAGAAATTAGCTGGGCATGGTGGCACGCGCCTACACTCTCAGCTACTCAAGAGGCTGAGGGAGCATAATCGTCTGAACCCAGCAGGCAGAGTTTGTAGTGACCTGAGATCATGCAACTCAACTCCAGCCTGATTAACAGAGAGAGACTCCACCTCCAAAACAAAACAAAACAAAACAAAATCTATGATTTGAAAGGACAAAGTAGGTGAAAAATTTAAGGTCAGGAGTTCAAGACTAGCCTGGCCGATATGGTGAAACCTCGTCTCTACTAAAAATAAAAAGTTCGCTTGGTGTGGTGATGGGCACCTGCGGTCCCAACATCACAAAGCGAGGGGCTTTACCTCATTTTGATAAGCGCTCATAAGTGTTCGCACATTTCAATGCCTCAGACACTGCAAGATGTCTGCTTTTGCAGATGGAGAGAGAGAAATTGGCCTGACTTTGCAGATGGAGAGACAGAAAGTAAGGAAGGAGAGAAATCAAGTGCTCAGTGACAGTTACTAAAGACACTGCTGAAGATACAGCCTAGGAACCTTCATTCTCAATCCAGAGATCTTTCCACTCCAACAACCCCTCAACTGTCACAGCTTCCTTCCTGTCCTTTACACCTGGAAAGATGCTGCCTCTTGTTCCAAAGACCACCTTCCATCAGAATTATGTAAAGAGCAGAGTCCTCTTTAAGCTCCCCACAGTGGGTTCTGTATATTATTACCGCATTTCCCCCAGGACCCGAGGACAGAGCTTTGCCTACTGGACCTCAGCAGAAACCTGAACTGAATGGCAGTCCACGAGCCTCAGGCATTTAGACCAACAGACTGGATGCTACTTGTCTGCAGAATCTTATGTGGTACAGAGAGGATTCCTGTCAACATGATTAAGCCTATTGCAGAGAAAAACAGGTGGTTCTGTGCTTGTGTCAGAAGTCAATAGCTGAGATGTTACGGAGACCCACACCCACCTTACTGCAGATGTGGAAAAGTGGCTACATACTTTGGCCTCTCTCATCTGCTTATAACAATATGTTAAGATACAAATTTACATTGGCTTAGAAGTATGAAAACAAAGAAATAAATTCTGACAAAGAGAGTGTTCAGTTTCTCAGAGAAAAGACAGGATATTGTTCAGCACTTCCGTGATAGTGAACAAATAGAACTTACCTTCCGTCTTCAGCCGGCAGTCCAGGTAGTAGGCCGCTTGACTCATAAGATGTTTATTTTTGCTGTCTCTGTATTTCTGTTCTTCATCATATTTTTGATCCTCTGTAAACAAATTCAGAAGAGCAGGTCACATTCAGCAAATCTCACTTCACACAAGACCAAATCAGTGTCCTGTCATAGCACAAAATCATAAAATATTCTCAATGGAAGAATGTGGTATTATGATGGGAATGTTCTAATGAGCCCTAGATTAAGTTGCCTCAGAAGCAGATGAGCCTGCTTTTCAGATCCATGGGACAAAATCTGTCTCATCTTGTAGAAATCAATCCCATATCCTAAGACTTAACTCAGTGCAAACAATTAAAACTTTTTTCCCAAAATCTTCAAAACTTGCCCTAACTACTTTCCAGAAGCGTTGCTGCAATACTGATCTATCTCATTATATCATGGTCAATGAATGGTTAGAGAAATTCATATCGGAGACTGAACCAATGGGTCAGTACTTACTCATCCATACAATAGAACTTACTGTATGTCCTCAGCCGGCAGTTCAGGGAGTAGTTCACCTCACTCATAAGACATCTATTTTTCCTGACTCTGACATTCAGTTTATCTTCCTGCTGGGAGCAGGATTTCGCAATGCCTTCTGGAACATTCACCTCTGTGTAGTTTCTGTATGGAGGCCGGCCAGATGCCACCTTGCTGATGTTTGAAGCAGAAAACAGAAAACCAGGGACTGGGGAGAAGAAACACAAACACATGGTGGGTTAGAATCTGGTGACGTCAAATTAGTTTAATGAGGACTGAGGGATGTCACTGACAGCCTTGCCTATTGATTTGAAGATGTTATTTCCCCGAATTACTCTTCTCATCTCCACTCTTGATCTCCTTAAAGTCAAGTTGTCTTAGCTACTCATTCAAATTGAAGCCAGTACATAAACATTTCTACCTCTTTCTTCTTCTAAGTTCTGAAGGATCTTATAAGGTACAGAGAAGATTCCTGTAAACATGATTTAGCCTCTTGCAGAGAAAAGCAGGTGGTTTGGTACCTGTGTTAGGAATCAATAGCTGGGATGTTAACCTTAGTCTCACACATGTCTTACTGCAGATGTGCAAAAGTTGCTAAAAATTTCGCCTCAGTGTTATGTCTTTAACAAAATGTTAAAATACCCATTGCTATTTTCCTAAAAGTATGAGAAGAATGAAATTAACTTTGAAGAAGAGAGTGTATAATTCCTCAGAGAAAAGAAAAAACATCGTTCAGCACTTCCATGATGCTGAACCTATAGAACTTACCTTCCATCTTCAGCCGGCAGCCCAAGTAGTAGGCAACTTGACTCATAAGAAGTTTATTTTTGCTGTCTCTGTATTTCTGTTCTTCATCGTGATCTTTTCGATCTTCTGTAAATAAATTCAGAAGAGCAGGTCACATTAAGGAAATCGCACTTCACACAGCACCAAATCAGTGTCCAGTCATAGCACAAGGATGTAAAATATTCTCAGGGTAAGAATGTAATATTCTGACAGGAATGTTCTAACAGGCCCTAGATTAGGTTGCCTCAGTAGTATATGAGCCTGCTTTTCAGATGCATAAGACGAAATCTCCCTCATCTGGTACATCTTAATCATGTATCCTCTGACCTAAGTCAGTGCAAATAATTAAAACTTTTCTCCCAAATCTTCCAAATTTGCCCTTACTGCTTTCCAGAAGCATTGCTGCAATACTGATCTAGCTCCTCATATATCGTGGTCAATGAATGGTTTGAGAAATTTATATAAAAGACTGGACCGATGGACAAATTCTAACAACCTTTACTTAAAAAAGAATCCATGGAGCCAGCCTGGTGTCTCACACCTGAAATCCCAGCATTTTAGGAGGCCCAGGAACGCAGATCACTTGACCTCAGGAGTTCAAGAGGTCTACTCCTCATGAGTTCAAGAGGTCTACCTCCTCAGGAGTTCAAGAGGTCTACCTCCTCAGGAGTTCAAGAGGTCTACCTCCTCAGGAGTTCAAGAGGTCTACCTCCTCAGGAGTTCAAGAGGTCTACCTCCTCAGGAGTTCAAGAGGTCTACCCCACCTCTACTAACAATACAGAACTTAGCCATTTGCTATGGTGCCCACCAGGGATCCCAGCTAACGGGGAGGCTGAGGAACCATTATAAGGGTACTTCCTGCTCTTGCTGGTGCCACCTAAACATACCACAGGTTCTATTAGAAGCAGAGCCCCTTCGACCTCTTCACAGGAGGAACTGTGTGCTATCACCACATTTCACACAGGGTCCAAAAAACACAGCTTTGCCTACTAAGCCTCATAAAACCAAAACCAAATGGAAGTTCAGAAGCCTCAGACATTTTGATCCACAAGCAAGATGCTACTTGGCTGTAGGATCTTATACTGTACAGAGAGGATTACTGTAAACATAAATTTGATCTCTTGCTGAGAAAAACAGGAGGTTCTGTACCTGTGTCAGAAATTGATAGCTTGGATTGTGACCCCAGTCCCACACCAATCTTACTGCAGACGTGGAAAAGTAGCTAAATACTTCAGTTTCCGTCTTCCGTCTTTAACAAAAATGTTAAAATACCCATTTCTATTTTTTACAAGTATGGGAAGAATGAAATAAATTTTGATGAAGAGAACTGTGAGTTTCTCAAAACAACACAGGACATCATTGATCACGTTCGTGGTGGTCAACCTATAGAACTTACTGTATGACTTCAGCCGGTAGTTCTGGAAGTAGGCCACCTGACTCAGAAGAAGTCTGTTTTTGCAGGCTCCAGACTTTGGTTTGTTTTCTTCCTGTTGTGAGCAGGATTTCTCAATGCCTTCTGGAACGTTCACCTCTGGGTGTATTCTGGAAGAAGGCCTGCCAGAGGCGACCATGTTGATATTTGGGGCAGAACACAGAAAGCCAGGGACTAAGGAAAAGAAACCCAAACACATGATAAGTTAGAAACTGCTAACGTCAAATTGTTTTAATCAGGACTGAGTGATATCACCGACAGCCTTGCCTATTGGACATGTTGTTTCCCTGCTTTGAATCTTCTCATCTCCACTCTTGATCTCCTTAAGGTTAACTTGTCTTAGCTACTCAGTAACCCTGAAACCAAAACATACACACTTCTACCTTTATCTTGCTTATAAGTTCTACAGGATCCTACATGTTAGAGAAGATTCCTGTACACATAGTTTAGTTTCTTGCTGAGAAACACAAGTAATTCTGTGCCTGTGTGAGGAATCATTAGCTGTGATATTAACCCTAGTCCCTTACCCACCTTACTGCACACATGAAAAGAGTTGCTAAATACCTTGGCCTCTGACTTCCAGATTTACCAAAATGTTAAAATAATCATTGCTATTTTCCCAGAAGCAGGAACAAAATGAAATTAACATTGAAGAAGAGAGAGTATCCTTTCTCAGAGACAAGGAAGAACACTGCTCGGCACTTCCGTTATGGTGAAACTATAGAACTTACCTTCCATCTTAAGCTGAGAGCCCAGGCAGTAGGCCGGTTGACTCATAAAAAGTTTATTTTTGCAGTCTCCGTATCTCCGTTCTTCATCGTCATCTTCTCGAGCTTCTGTAAACAAATTCAGAAGAGCAGGTCACAGTAAGCAAATGGCACTTCACACAAGACCAAATCGGTGTCCAGTCATAGCACGAGGATGTAAAATATTCTCAATGGAAGAATGCGAATATTATCATGGGAATGTTCTAACGGGCCCTAGATTTGGTTGCCTCAGAAGCAGATGAGCCTGCTCTTCAGATCCATGGGACAAACTCTGTCTCATCTTGTAGATCTCAATCCCATATCCTCTGACTTAAGTCAGTGCAAACGATTAAAACTTTTACCCCAAAATCTTCAAGACTTCCCCTGACTGCTTTCCCAAAGGCTTGCTGCAATACTGATCTGGCTCATTCTGTATCACGGTCAACGAAGGGTTAGAGAAATGTATACAGGAGACTGGACCGACGGATGTATTTAAACAACCTCTACTTAAAAAAAGTATCTGTGGAGCCGGCATGGTGGCTCATGCCCGCAATCCCAGCACTTTAGGAGGTCTAGGAGGGCAGATCCCTTGACCTCAGGAGTTCGAGATCAGCCTGGCCAACATGGAGAAACCCCGCCTCTACATCAAACACAAACAGTAGCCAGGCGTGGTGGTGCCCACTGGGGATCCCAGCTAATGGGGAGGCTGAGGCACCGGTACCAGGGTACTTCCTGCTCTTGATGGGGCCACTTACACATACCACAGGTTCTATCAGGAGCAGGATCCCCTTTCCGTTCCTCACAGGAGGTACTGTCTGCTATCGCTGTGTTTCCCCCCAGGGTCCCCAACCCACAGCTTTGCCTGCTGGGCCTCAGAAGAAACCGGAACCAAATGGAAGTTCAGCAGCCTCAGACATTTAGACCAACAGACTAGTTGCTACCTCTCTGCAGGATCTTATACTGTACAGAGAGGATTCCTGCAAACATGGATTTAGCCTCTTGCCGAGAAAAGCAAAAGGGTCCTGTGCCTGTGTCAGCAATCCATAGCTGGGATTGTAAGCCCAGTCCCACACCCACCTTACTGCGGACGTGGAAAAGTTGCTAAACACTTTGGCCTCTGTCTTCCTTCTTTAACCAAATGGTAAAATACCCATTTCTATTTTCTAGGAGTATGGGAAACATGAGATTAACTTTGAGGAAGAGAGCGGTCAGTTTCTCGAGACGAGGCAGGACAGCGTTCATCACTTTTGTGGAGGGGAACCTATGGAACTCACCGTATGTCCTCAGCCGGTAGTTCAGGGAGTAGTTCACCTCACTCAGAAGACATCTATTTTGGCGGACTCCGACATCCGGTTTGTTATCTTCCCGCTGGGAGCAGGATTTCTCAATGGCTTCTGGAACGTTCGCCCCTGGAATTGTTCCGGCCACAGCCCTGCCAGATGCCACCGTGATGACATTTCGGGCAGAACACGGAAAGCCAGGGACTGGAAAGAAGAAACCCAAACACACGATGGGTTAGAAACCGGTGACGTCAAATCGGTTTAATCAGGACGGAGGGATGTCACTGACAGCCTTGCCTATTGATTTGAAGATGTTATTTCCCCGAATTACTCTCCTCGCCTGCACTCTCGATCACCTTAAAGTCAACTTGTCTTAGCTACTCATTTGCCTTGAAGCCAGGACATCCACATTTCTACCTTGATTCTGCTTATAAGTTCTGAAGGATCTTATATGCTACAGAGAAGATTCCTGTAAACATGATTTAGCCTCTTGCAGAGAAAAGCAGGTGGTTTGGTGCCTGTGTTAGGAATCAATAGCTGGGATGTTAACCCTAGTCTCGCACCTGTCTTACTGCAGATGTGGAAACGTTGCTACATAGTTTCGCCTCCCTCCATGTTACGTCTTTAGCAAAATGTTAAAATACCCATTGCTACCTGCGTAGAAGTATGGAAAGGATAAAATTAAACTTTAAAGAAGAGAGTGTAGCACTTGTCAGAGACAAGACAGAACATTGTTCAGGACTTCCGTAATGGTGAAGCTATGAAACTCACCTTTCATCCTCAGCCGGCAGGCCAGGTAGTAGGCCACTTCACTCATAAGAAGTTTATTTTTGCTGTCTCTGCATTTCTGTTTTTCACTGTGATCTTCTTGATCATCTGTAAATAAATTCAGAAGAGCAGGTCACATTAAGGAAATCGCGCTTCACACAGCACCACATCAGTGTCCAGTCATAGCACAAGGACGTAAAATATTCTCAGGGTAAGAATGTGATATTTTGAAGGAATGTTCTTACAGGCCCTTGATTAGGTTGCCTCAGTAGTATATGAGCCTGCTCTTCAGATCCATGGGACAAAATCTCCCTCATCTGGTAGATCTTAATCATGTATCCTCCGACCTAAGTCAGTGCAAATGATTAAACCTTTTTCCCCAAATCTTCAAAAACTGCCCTAACTGCTCTTCAGAAGCATTGCTGCAATACCGAGTTACCTCATCATCTATCACGGTCAATGAATAGTTAGAGAAATTTATATAGAAGACTGGACTGATGGATGAATCCTAAAAACCTTTACTTAAAAAAGAATCCATGGAGCCAGCCCAATGTCACACCTGGAATTCCAGCACTTTAGCAGTCTCAGGGAGGGAGATCACTTGACCTCAGGAGTTGAAGACCAGCCTGGCCAACAGGGTGAAACCCTGCCTCTACTAACAATACAAAAATTGGCCATTTGCGATGCTGCCCACCAGGGATCCCAGCTAATTGGAAGGCTGAGGCACCAGTACCAGGGTACTCCCTGCTCTTGATGGTGCCACATACACATACCACAGATGCTATTGGAGCAGAGCCCCCTTCAAGCTCTTCACAGGAGATATTGTGTGCTATCACGTTTCCCCCAGTATCCCCAGAACAGAGCTTTGCCTACTGGGCCTCAGAAAACCAGAACCAAATGGAAGTTCAGTTGCCTTAGACATTTTGACCAACAGAGTAGATGCTACTTGTCTGCAGGATCTTATACTGTACAGAGAGGGTTCCTGTAAACATGGATTTAGCCTCTTGCTGAAAAAAACAGGTGGTTCTGTGCCTGTGTCAGAAATTGATAGCTGGGATTGTGACCCCAGTCGTACCCCCACCTTACTGCAGATGTGGAAAAGTTGTTAACTACTTTGGCTTCTGTCTTCATCTTTAACAAAATGTTAAAGTCCCCATTGCTAATTTCTACAAGTATGGGAAGAATGAAATTAATTTTGATGAAGAGAACTGTGAGTTTCTCAAAACAACACAGGACATCATTGATCACGTCCGTGGTGGTCAACCTACAGAACTTACTGTATGACTTCAGCCGGTAGTTCTGGAAGTAGGCCACCTGACTCAGAAGAAGTCTATTTTTGCTGGCTCCGAAATTCGGTTTGTTTTCTTCCTGTTGTGAGCAGGATTTCTCAATGCCTTCTGTAATGTTCTCCTCTGGGATTTTTCTGGAAGGACGTCTGCCAGATGTCACCATGTTGACTTTTGGGGCACAACACAGAAAGCCAGAAACTGGGGCAAAGAAACACAAACATATAATGGGTTAGAAACTGGAGAGGTCAAGTTAGTTTAATCAGGACTAAGGGATGTCACTGACAGCCTTGCCTATGGCATATGGTGTTTCCCTGCTTTTACTCTTCTCATCTCCACTCTTGATCTCCTTAAAGTCAACTTGTCTTAGCTACTCAGTCACCCTGAAACCAGGATATAAACGCTTCTAGCTTTATCTTGCTTATACGTTCTGAAGGATCCTATGTGTTAGAGAGAATTCCTGACAAAGCGATTTAGTCTCTTCCTGAGAAAAACAGGTGGTTCTGTGCCTGTGTCAAGAATCATTAGCTGCGTTATTAACCCTAGTCCGACACCCACCTTACTGCAGATGTGGAAGCATTGCTAAATGCCTTGGCCTCTGACTTCCATCTTTACCATAATGTTAAAATACCCATTGCTATTTTCCTAGAAGTATGGGAAGGATTAAATTAACTTTGAAGACGAGCGTGTGTAATTTCTCAGAGATAAGACAGGACATTGTCCAGCACTTCTGTGATGGGAACCTATAGAACTTACCTTCTGTCTTTAGCCGGCAGCCCAGATAGTAGGCCACTTGACTCAAAAAATGTTTATTTTTGCTGTCTCTATATTTCTGTTCTTCATCGTCATCTTTTCGATCTTCTATAAACAAATTCAGAAGAGCAGGTCACATTAAGCAAATCGCACTGCACACAAGACCAAATCAGTGTCCAGTAATAGCACATAAATGTAAAATATTCTCAGTGCAAGAATGTGTTATTCTGACAGCAATGTTCTAATGGGCCCTAGACTAAGTTGCCCTAGAAGTGGATGAGCCTGCTTTTCACATCCATGGGACAAAATTTCCCTCATCTGGTAAACCTTAATCACTTATCCTCTGACCTAAGCCAGTGCAAAAATTAAAATGTTTCATCCAAAATCTTCCAAAAATTGCCCTAAATACTTTCCAGAAGCATTGCTGCAATACTGATTTATCTCATCATATATTATGGTCAATTAATGGATAGAGAAATTTATATAGGAGACTGAACCACCTGATGAATTCTAACAACCTTTACTGAAAAAAGAATCTGTGGAACCAGCATGGTGGCTCATGCCTGGAATCCGAGCAATTTAGGAGGCACAGCAGGGCAGATCCCTTAATCTCAGGAGTTTAAGACCAGCCTGGCCAACATCATGAAACCCCACCTCTACTAAATATACAATAGTTAGCCAGGTGTGCTAGTGCCCACCAGAAATCCCAGCTGATTGCGAGGTTGAGGTACCAGTACCGGGGTACTTCCTGCTTTTGATGATGCCACTTATACAAACCACAGGTTCTATCAGCAGCAGCGTCCCCTTCAAACTCCTCACAGTGGGTACTGTCTGCTTTCACTGTTTCCCCCAGTGTCCCCAGAACACACCTTTGCCTACTGGGCCTCAGCAGTCTCTGGAACCTAATGGAAGTTCAGTAGCCTCAGATATTTAGACCAACAGACTGGACGCTACTTGTCTGCAGAATCTTATACAATACAGAGAGGATTCCTGTAAACAGGATTTAGCCTTTTGCTGAGAAAAACAGGTGGTTCTGTGCCTGCATCAGAAATCAAGAGCTGGGATTGTAACCCCAGTCCCTCACACACCTTACTGCAGACGTGGAACAGTTGATAAATACTTTGGCCTCTGTCTTCCATCTTTAACTTAATGTTAAAATACCCACTGCTATTTTCTACAAGTATGGGAAGGATGAAATTAATTTTGATGAAGAGAACGGTTAGTGTCTAGAGACAAGACAGGATGTCACTCAAGTTTCATGGTGGTGAACCTATACAACTTACTGTCTGTCTTCAGCTGGTAGTTCTGGAAGTAGGCCACCTGGCTCAGAAGAAGTCTATTTTTGCTGTCTCTGAAACTCGGTTTGGTCTCTTCCTGCTGGGTGTAGGAATTCTCGACTATATCAGGAAAGTTCACCTCTGTGGTTTGCCTGGAACACGCCCTGCCAGGTGCCGCCATGGTGACATTTGGGGTACCAAAGGCACAGCCAGGAACTAGAGAGAAGAAACCCAAACACAGGATGGGTTAAAAACTGAAAATCAAATAGGTTTAATCAGGACTGAGGAATTTCAATAACTCAAATCCCTAACTTACTGTTTAGAAAAACGATCCCTCCTCACAGAATTTTAGGGTCCTTAACTGCCAAAACAATGTAGGAAATGCTTGAGCTCAGAGCAGAAGGTGCTGCCTCTAGCTCAGACTCTGACAAGAGTGTGGGAGACAGGGCCGGTTTCCCAGGTAACGGTCTGCTGTTGCAATAATAGAATTGTAAGCTGGGCGTGTCATGGAATCTTCATTCCAACTGCCCAGGGTTTGCTAAAACACAGGCCTCCTGGTCTCACCTGAGCTCACAACCAATGGGGAACCGTTCCTCTATCATTCACTCTCAGTATTTGTGTACCCTTGTGACGATGCCACAGTCCCATCTCATTCCCAACATATCTAAGCATGTGCCTCATTTTTTCATCTCTTGTGTGTATAAAATCATCAAGGCAGAAAGTTTCCCAACATGTGATATTTTCTTAATGCTAATCATGAAGTCAGTCATCCCTCCTTCTCATATGTTAAAACAGAATTAAAGGCTTTTCCACAAGTTTAACATATCATCCTATTACACTGCCATGAAATCCTCTGACTCTTCTGCAGCTTTTTCTGTATCCACTAGAGACTGAATGAGTAATTCATTTTTTTAATGAATTAAAATGCTTTCTTTCCTGGTTCAATATTCCTCTTGCTGCATCCCATGGTTATGCTGATTTATATTTTCTTACTATCAGATATCACTACACTGATATTTGTGGCAGAAGAGACTTTTCATTACACTTAAGACCAGTTTGATGTCCCTATATCCAAAGCTTCCTCTGTGTGGGATGATTGGTTTTCTAATGTGACTGAACACTACATCTCATTCTTGTCACTTATAAATGGCAATTTAGTCCCAGAAAAGCTCTTCTGGGGCTAAATGGCAATTTCGTCCCAGAAGAGCTCTTCAGAAGGTGTCAAGTCATCAAAACCATTTCTATGGAGATCTCCTGAAAGCATATGTGACCATCTATCTTGGGAAGTCTGGTAAACCTGGTATGATTTTGTTGTTTTCATTTCATGTTGTCCACATATTGAAAACAACAGGGCCATGAGCGGTCCTTATGGAATACTGTTTGACACATTTTTCTGAGTTGGTCTAATGCCATTGATGTGTGGTTACATCCCACTTACCAAACACGGTAAGATCAAGGTGATGGTGGGGGTGGTTGGTGGTCCTCCGCGTTGCTGTGCAATAGAAGGTGAATTGGAGATGACAGGAACGAGTAGGAAGAGTGATCCCTGAACCTCCTCCTCACTTTCTCAGCTTTCATCACCACCCAGGTTTTGTGAGCCTGGGACTTGGGAGACTGTTCTGTAGCCCAGGTCTCCTATGTTTGGCTGCTTCCTGGGCTTGCTGAGTCGAGGGTACAATGGGTGTGACCCTGGGCTGCCCAGCATTCATGTGGAAGTGAAGCAAGGAGGACCAGATCAATCCCATTGGAAAACGTGCCTCTCTACAGCCCCCATCATCCTCCAGCAACACTGTAAGCACACCGCTTAGAGACACGTCAAAGGCTTTATGTATATACATGTTCTGGTGTCTGGGAGGCCTGACATTCTCTGGCAGAAGCAAAATCTGTCAGGTCTCTTCATTATAAAAATGATGAAACTGCAGGTTCACAAAGTTATGTGGCTGACTTCAGGTCACACAGGGATGAGTTTTGAGCAGTGCCAATGAAAGCAATCACAACAATTATTCCATAATTATTCATAGGATCCATGTCATTCAGTAAATATTCATATAATTATTCACTAATTATTTGTTGACCAATCTCTATGAGGCATTTTGCTCAAAACTCTGCACATATTTGGAGAGTATATCTTCATCAGAATCCTCAAGGTAACACTGTTATCCTAAGAATCAGGTAAGAAACCTGAACAAGAGGGCTAGCAAATCATGAATTTGGCCGTATTTCCATTTTCTGTTTTCTGTGATGCTAGACAAATGACCAGAATGAGTCACCGGAAGAGTATTCATCCCTGTATCATTTTCCAGGACAAAGATGTGTCCTCCAAGTATATTGGGACCAAAATTCACAAGTGTCTGCAACCTTGCTTTAACAGCATGAAAAATAACCTCTATTTTTCATGGAATTAGACCTGGAATTTCCCTGGACCTTTGGAATATACAAGAGAAGGTCTGTATATCTTTGTCCCCATCAGTGCCACTCAGTTCTCCCAGTATGACCTGGCCATGCCCCTGCACTTACCCTTGTCCTGCTCAACCATCTCCATGCACTGTCCAATACATCAGTGATTCAGGCTCCTCCCAAGGCTCCCTGAAATAGGTACAGGTCTCAGGACATCACACACATTCCAGGCACAAAACCAGCCCATATTGTAAAGCGGCAGCTGTGTTCCCACTTCCCTGAAGTTGGCAGTGATATCCTAGGACAGGAAGAAACACTTTCTCTTGTTAGGGGGTCTCTTCTTCATGTCTCAGGGCCTCTGATCTAGTGAACACAACTGTCCTGAATGTGAATGAACTTGCTAAATTCCTGGTTTCTTGCTAGGTGGCTAAAATACATTTATAAGACTTCCTTACTACCCCATGTTTGCTGAAGTCTGAATTCTTACCAGAATGATTCCTTTTCTTGTAAGAATTAGTTTAGGGAAGACTGGCCCCATTGCCATGCAAAAAGAGGTAAAGTGAATTTCTACTCAAAGCAAACAAATTTGAAACAAGGTCTTCCACTGTTTCAAAGCTGCCCGTAGGTCCAACTGTCACATATTTGGACATGATATCTTCATCAAAATCATCAGGCATGTGTCCTCAAAATCTAGTGTGTCTGCTGTACTCAGCATAAAGTTACTTTTCATTATAAGTTATAATTAACTTGCCACAATATAATTCATTATAAAGATAAAGTTATCAGTATGGCAATGACAAATTTTGTTTTTTGAGATGAAGTTTTGCTCGTTACCCAGGCTGGAGTGCAATGGCGCTATCTCAGCTCACTGCAACTTCCGCCTCCTGGGTTCAGGCAATTCTCCTGCCTCAGCCTCCTGAGTAGCTAAAATTACAGGCACACGCCACCATGCCCAGCTAATTTTTTGTATTTTTAGCAGATACGGGGTTTCACAATGTTGACCAAAATAGTCTCGATCTCTTGACCTTGTGATCCACCCACCTTGGCCTCCCAAGGTGCTGGGATTACAGGCTTCAGCCACCGTGCCCAGCCTGGCAAGGAAAAATTTAGAAGAGTTATTAAATTTACTTCTTTATTTCCCCATCTGGAAACAGTCAAGAGCTACTGATATCATCAGTGTCCTCTGAATACCTTGGCTGTGTTAACTGCTTTGACTCAACATGGAGCTGAGGTGTTGGTGTACTGTACATCGAGATGCTGAAATATGGCTGAAGTCCAGGGTCACTGGCCCGGGACATCCACTGAGGTCATCTCATGCGGCATGGGCCACTGCTTCCACCATCACTACACTTCTCATGAATCACCAGTCACTAGACTGAAAACTGTGAAACCTGGGATCCTATTTTACTCACCTCTGTGGTCACGATCCTTAGCTGAGGGCGAGCACAGAGGGTCCTCTCAGCAGTGTTCATCCGTGACTGAATAAAATAAATTACAAACCTCCAACCCTTTCACCTACATTTCTGTCCCCAATGTCTTGTAAGGGATGCTCTTTCTCTCAGAATGCTGCAAATCCCCTTCCCTAGAGAGGTGCCTGCCCTACACCATCCCTGCCACAGGATCCTCTCCTGTGGGAGCTTCAAGGAAGACTAGTCTGTCCTGAAAATGTTCTCTTATGCCTCCCCCTGTCATTAGGAGTAATGTCCTTTGACATACACTCCCGTACTCCGGGCTGCCACAACACCTCAGTTGGGTAGCACTACCGTATCTTGTTGAAATGATCTGTTTGTGTTCTTCCACTCACTGGCTTGAGTTTCTTTAGAGAGACATTAAATACCTGAATCCCAAGTGCTTAGCACAGTACAAAGAAAATTAAATAATAAATATTTATGAGAAACTTCCCTCAACTGAATGTACAGAGGAATATTATTAGTATCACTGCTTCATATACAAGCAAGGGACACTTACACTGGCACCTGACCTAGGGCAGAGCTGTTTGATGGAAGAATGGACGTCTCCAACCCTTCTCCACGCATGGTTATTCCCTCTAACTCACAATGAACCGAAGAGCATCCACTGCTATAGCAGCACCAATGCAGACGCTCCTGGGTCTGGGGAGTGTTCATCCATGACTGAATAAAACTGATTACAAACCTCTGAACCTTTCTTGGAGTTGAAGCTGCCCCTCATTATAAACCAGCTCTGATCTAACCTGTGGCTCTCCCTGGCCAGAGGCAGGAGATTCCTGTCAAATAAGTTTCTCTCAGTCCCCACTGCTCAGCTCATGCAGCTCCTTGAGGGTTTAAATGATCATAGGCGTTGCCCATTTCCCCTGAGGCTTCTGTCCTGCTCTGTCTTTATTCTCCCCTTCTTTGGTTTTTATTTACCAATGGCTTCTTTGGAAATTATTCTCATCCCCTAAACCTGCTGACTCTTTCTTCCACCTGTTCCTGCAGCTCTGGGATTCCAGCCTGTAGACTCAGCTCAGGCTCCTGCAGGAGACACACAGAATCAGGTCTCAGCTGAAGCTCCCAGGAAGTACTGAAAAGCATCTCAATTCCTCAGAAGCTCAGAGAAAACAGAGCAGGAAGGGACCTCAGAGAGGTACAATAAGCCTCTACCTTACTGATGAGGAAACACTGAAGCCCAGAAACACTGAGACTCTCCCAGGCTCCCTCTCTCAACACTTGGTGGCAGCAGATCCACCACACGAGTCTTGGCCTCAGCCTCCCTGCGCAGAGCAGGTAACTCACTCTCCAGAAGCTCACTGCTGCCATTCAGAAAACTTTAGATGAAAAATAGTAATTTCCTCTGTGAAAACAAAAACGGGAAAAGCCCCTTTCCTTGGACAAACCCTTTATCACAGTTCTACAGTCCTGGCCTTTACACCTGGGTCAGTTGTCACTCACTGGCTGCTATATTGGGGAAGGGAGCACATAGGATTAAATAGTGTTTCACACAACCCTGCTTTCCCGGCCTGGGCTCTCAGCTCCTCCATTCTTCTTCAGAAACTTTCTGCTGCTGTAACTGCTGGAGAGTCCAGGCCCTCCTGTGGGTCATTTCTCCATAAAGATCCCTGTTATTTTCTTCCTCTCTTAAAGATAGAGAGGGCAGAGGTTGGTTCTGGGACTCCATAGTCTTAGGTTTTCTCCTAAGCCAGCCAGGGCAGCTGAAAGCAATTATGACTGAGAGCGGTCAGGTGAGTGAAGACGAGCACGGGCTCACAAGGACATCCTCTTGTGGAGATGGCCAGGACCGTGACACAGGCAATGTCTGACCAATTCCGCGGGTGATGACGCAACAAGGATTAAGTGGAGGATGCTGCCACGAGGAGAAAAAGGAAGAACCAAAAGAGGAGGGGGAGAAGGAAAATAAAATGTTTTCCATAATGATAGAAAAAAATGCAGAGCCCGGAGGCAAAATCCCCATCACAGAGGGTTAGTTCCAGGCTGTGGAGCCTAATGAAGAATTTCTGGCTGGACTTTGCTCAGCCCCATGTCAAAATGGCTTTGGATCAGTGACTTTGTTCCCTCCACTTTCCCTCTTTTTGAACAAGAATCACTAGCAGTGTTATTCTGTGACTGTCCCACCATTGCACACTGAGGACAGATAAGCTGTTTAATCTGTTTCACAGGTCAACAGGGGTAAGGGAATTATATCAAGGATCTGTACTTAGGCTGGGCATGGTGGCTACCTGAAATCCTAGCACCTTGGGAGGCTGAGTGGGGATGGCCCCTGAGGTGGAGTTTCAGACTAGCCTGGACAACAGGGCAAATCCCCATCTCTACTAAAAATACAAAAATATAGCTGAATGCAGTGGTGCATGTCTGTATTCCCAGCTACTCCAGAGGCTGAGTCAGGAGAATCGCTTGAACCCAGGGGGCAGAAATCACAGTAAGCCAAAATCGCACCACTGCACTCCAGCATGGGTGACAGACCAAGACTCACTCTCAAAAGGAATCTATACTTAATGAAAACCCTCAGAAGCCTCATTGAAACTTGGTGTAGATTATTTAAATGAGAT